ACAGTCACTTCCATCTCTGTTACTGTTACTAAATAGTAGATCATTTAAGAAGATATAGGGAATCTACATTACCACATCTTTTCACTTTGGTACAAATGAAACTTATGTCTTTGTGATACTGGTAGAATTTAACTGAAAAGAAAATCAAACATATTTGAATCAGTTGTTTGTTTGTTTTTAAAATAATAATTTAAAGAAATTCATCAGTTGCTCCATGTTAAGTATAAGTACTTAATATGGAATAATACAGTCAACTGTGTTCTAGAATAAAGAAAAATGTTTGCAAAAAATAAAATACCTTCTTCAAGGTAGTTGAATTATTACTCTGCTGACAATGTTATTTCTTTTGTGTAGGACATTTATGCACAGTTGCCTAACATGTAGCACTTCTTTTGCTTCCCACAATGCTTTTGCGAAGGTTGATCAAAATCTGAATCTTAGAGATTAGTGCATACTGTTGAGGTATTCCCCATTAGGAGAATGAGTGCACTCAGGGAAACATAGTGAGAGTGGTGATGAATAACACACAACCAGCACACAGATATACTGAATAGTAAAATGAAGACCAACAAACAGTCCAAATCATATATGGTTAAAGCAGTTAGTATCAGTCCAGGGATAATTCAAAAATGAAGTTAAGTATTATAAACAAAGTTCAGTAAATGGAGTTTGCTAACAGTCGCAAGACTCACAGTAATCCAAGCAGAATGACGATCAGGCAATATGGAAAAACAAGAAATGCAAGGAGAAAGAAACCAGGTTTCTGGCTCCATCTTATGGCCATTGGAGGAACCTCAGCCAATCACAATTACAGCATTCTCTTAAAGATACAGTATTAAATTACTATCCTGGTTTATATATTTCCAACCCAACTGTTAGGTGACTATCATTCCTAACATTCTCCCCCTTGGGTAGGACAATATATAAAACTTTAAAGTTTAAGTCCATATTCTTCACAGCAAGTCTTATATTTTACAGTGCCTTGGGCTTTCGTAAAATGATCAGCAATGTTATTTTCTGACATACAGTACTCCAGTTTAATCATTTTACTTTGAACACCTTGTCTCACATTTAGATATCTTAGATCGATGTGTTTTGATCTTGTCTTTACAGCGAGATTGGAAGCTATCTGAATTGCTGATTGGTTGTCTTCATACACAACAATAGCTTCCTTTACATTAATTCCCATATCTATCATTAGTTGTTTATAACAAACTAAATCTGTACATAATAGAGACAAACATGAGAATTCAGCCGCCATTGTTGATAAACTTAGATGTTTTTGTTGAATAGACTGCCATGCAATTAACACCTTTCCTAATAATACTACAGTACCTGACGTTGATTTACATGTAGGTACGTCTGTAGCAAAACTTGCATCAGCATATGTAGTTAAACTTAATTCATCCTTAGGCTCCAAATATAATGCATAATGCATCATTTGTTTAAGATATCTCAACACATGCTTAGCAGCTTGCCTGTGCCTTTCAGTAGGCTTAGTAATAAACCTGGATAATTGGTTAACACTATATGCTATGTCTGGCCTAGACCAATTACTGAGATAGGATAAGCTACCAATTAAAGATGGATAAATATCTTTATCAAAAACAGGACTTTGCACATCACTGTGGCTACACTCCTGGCTCATTGGTGTTTTAGCCAGTTTACAAAGTTCCATTTTAAAGGTTTCCAGTAATTGGTTAATTTTATCTGCCTGTGAGATTTTGTATCCTCCCCTAGTTTTATCTCTTTTTAAACCAAGATACTGTTTAATCTCTTCTAAATGTTTTATTTTAAATTTCTTCTCTAACAATGAAATAATCTCAGTAGCTTCTTGCTCAGTCTTAGTGATTAACACTATGTCATAAGTAAACAATAGCAACAATGAAACTACAGCATCACTTTCCTTTTTGAATAAACGTGGATCAGCCATTCCAGCTACAAAACCTATCTTTGTTAATTCCTTCACTATGCATTGGTTCCATTCATAGCCTGATTGCTTCAAGCCATATAGACTCTTTTTTAATCTCCAGCAATCAGTTTTGTTATCAGTTTTTATCCCCAAAGGCTTCTTTAAATATATAGTATGTTGCAACGGTGCATGAAGATATGCTGTCTCCACATCTAAATGGTTTATTGTGTATTTATTTTTAGCTGCCCACACTAATGCTGCTTGTAATGTGGTAACCTTCAGACTAGGTGCAAACACCTCATTGTAGTTGTTGGCTGACTGATTGAACACTTGTGCTACTAACCTGGCTTTATGGGTAATAGTCCCATCCACACCTGTCTTAATTTTATAAATCCACTTATACCCTATGGCATGCTTACCTGGTAGTAACCTGACATTTTCATGTACCTCTAAACTTTGTAAAGATTTCAGTTCCTTATCCATTGCTTTCTGCCAAGCAGCCTGATACTTAGCAGGATACAGTTTCAGTTCATTATAGTTATTAGGAACTGTATTTACTTGGCATACCATACTTGCCTGATATCTATCTGGTGGTCATGTTACACGGGTTGAACATCTAAGCAACTCAAGGCTTACTCGTGGACTCTCCTGTTCCACCTGCTCCTGTTCTTCTACCTCCTCCTGTGCCTATTCTTCCTTTTTACTGGCTATTGATGATTTAACTATCTCATCATTAGGGACTACTTGGGTATCGATAACAACATCATTGTTAGATTCCTGTTCTTGTTTATGCCACCCAATGTGCTCAAGAAATTTAGCATTAATGCTACAGTAAATATTAGCTGTGCCTGGATCCCAGAACCTAAATGATCTATGGTTGGCCTCGTAACCTGTGAAAAATAATTTCCCAGCTCTATGCTGCCCTTAGCTCTATGCTCCCCCTAGTCTTACTTGTGAGGGAATATGCACCCATGCTGGAGCTCCAAATGTGTGTAGATAACTTAAATTTGGTTTTCTGCCATGCCAACAAGTGAATGGCAATTCACCAGTTGTTCTGTTCGCCACATTGTTTAACACATGGTTGCTACACATTATGGCTTCACCTCACAGTGTTTCAGGCAAATCTGAATCGGATAACATAGTGTGAGCCATGGCTTGTAATGTTTGCCCTCTTCATTCTATAAATGAATTATGTTGTGGCCTGTAAGGGCAGAACACTTATGCTCGATACCAGCCAATTTCAACATCTATGGAATCTATTGTTAATAAACTCAGTCCTGTTATCAGTAACGAAAGTAATTACTTTATGTTTCATTTTCCTTTCTGCAAACCTTGGCCAATTAAAGAAATATTGAAATGTTTCTGTTTTGTTTTTCATTAAATACCAGAAACCGTACCGTGAGTAATGATCTATTATACTCAAAATATAGCAGGCACCTCCCAAACTGGGTTTTTTAGGACCAATTATGTCAGCAAACAAAACCTCTAAAGGTTCTTTGGTCTTAAGCCCATTCAGTTTGTTTGCTGGAGTAACCTTGCTTTTCTCCTGACTATAGGCATTGCAGTTTAAGTACTTGTTACAATGTTTTAATTTTACTCCCTCTGACAATTTAACAGCTTGTTTCAGCATTTTGAAATTAATGTGCCCTAGACGTCTATGCAGTAAATGTATACATTTGTCATGTGGCTTAACATTGTTATAAACCGGAACTTCCGGCGGTGATGCCTTGGTGAAAGGCTGAAGGGAGAGTGGTCTCCATCTCTGGATCCTGTTTTTTCACTTTTGGGGACCTTTCAGGGCATGAGGGGCCTGGAGAGCCCAGCGGAGAAGAGGGGAAGCCCAGAAGACAGCAAGGCAAAACATGATTGCCAGCCGGCAAGAAGGGAAATCCCTGAAAACCTGAAGTGAAAGTGTCTGTCATTTTATTATAGCAGACCCGAGGCCAACGCTGAATCATGAATGAGAAGGAAGTGAGAAGATTATCAAAAGAAAGTGTCACTGAAGTTAAAATCCCAAAGTTGCAACTGTGATGATTTGCCAAAAGTAACTTTGAACTTGTTTCCAAGGAAAAAAGAGCTCTGGTGAGGGGGGATAAGACAGTAAGAAAAAGCTGTGATTCAGCACTGTTTACAAATGGAAAGAAACTGAAGGAGAAGGGGTATAAGTTGGAAGTGAATAGTTCTAGGAAACTGAAAGGTGGAGATTGAAATAAGACAAGAACTGGTGGGAGAAGAAGAAAATCCAGGGAAGCCAGAGGAGGAGGTGGCAAAAAGGTGATAAGGGAGAGATGATTGACTTCTCTCTGCTTCTTGGACGGAGGGCAATTACAAGGCCAATGTGGTGAGTGGAGAAGGAGAAAGTGAAATCTTATCAGGATGTGAGAGTGATACGAAGGAAAGGAAAGAAAGTCTTGGAAGGAAGGAGGAGGTGAAGTGGAAGTGGAGAGACATTGAAAGGATCAGAAGGAAAGTCGGGACGACAGAGATGAGAAAGGCAAGATATGGAGAAAGGAGTGACTGAGCAATTTTCAAGTGGAAGGAGATGGCAGGACATTAATGGGAGCGGAGAAGAAGAAAATTTGGTAGAGAATGAGCTGAAAGAGACGATGAAGGAGGATTGGAAAGTAACAGAGAAGATATGAGTGGAGTCATAAAGAGAGAGACGTGGAGGGAGTAGCAGAAAGACAAAGCAGAAGGAAGGAGAGTGGAAAATGGTTTGGACTGAGACAGTGAGATTGGAGAGAAAAGAAAAGGAAATCTTTGAGTGAGGTGTATTTAAAGATAACAAAATAGGCTGGTGGAACTTAGAACAATACAAAATGAAAAGAAACTGGAACTAATGGACAATAGGATGATGACAATAAATAAAAGATTAGAAGAACAGATTATCCACCTAGAGATGGACCATGTTGCCTATTACTTGAGGTTTCAAAATATCATTGAAAGTAGAGATGAAGATCTGAATGTGCTTATGGCAAAATTACTTGTGCCAGCTTTACAAAGGGAGATCCGAGAGATCCTGCTAGAAATCGACAAGGCCTATAGAGTTCAAATGAGTTACGCTGGATGTAACAGGTTACTCAGGGAAGTACACATGTGATTTGCCAGGAAACAAGTATGTGACATAATATACAAGATAATGCGAGAAGAACCATTGGTTTATAAAGATAAAGAAGTGCAAACCCTGAAGCAGGTTCCTAAGAAGGTGCGTGAACAGAGAAAAGATTATAAGTTTTTGGCAACACAACTTATCCAGAAGAACATAATGTTTTGATGGTTAATTCCAGAAGGCTTGTTGGTAACATGGCAGGAAAAGAGGATCAGGATAGATAATGTAGACAAGGCACAAGATTTCTATGAGCAGATTGGAAGAACAGAAGAAGAAAGCAGCGGTAGGGAGGAGCTAGAGACAGAAAGCCAAGAACAACAACAGCAAGATATAGGAGGCCTAGAACAAGAAGGAGAGAACAAGGAGGAGACGGAAGGAAGAAGATTAAGAACACGCCCGCAAAGAGAGACTAGAATTAATAGAAGACAGATAATATCCCAAAAGTAGAAAGATGGAAACAGAAACGAAGCTATTATCATTAAACATAAATGGTCTAAACTCACCCATTAAAAGGAAACAGATACTATCTAGATTAGCCAAACAGAAATTAGAAATAGTATGCCTGCAAGAAGTTCATATTAAAAAACAATTTTGGAAATGTTTAGAATATCCTAAATTAGGAAGGTTATTTGTAGCCCTGGCAGATCAAAAACAGAAAGGGATAGCGGTATATGTTAAAAAAGAAATTAAGGCAGTAGAAAAATATGTAGACCCACGAGGGAGAATTTTGATACTTGAACTAGAATTAGAGTACAAGCCAATCTTATTAGTTACAGTTTATGCGCCAAATGACAACCAAAGTCAATTCTATAAGGATTTACATGAGAGAATCATTGAGATGGGACAAGATAATGTATGCATTGTGGGAGATCTTAATGCGGTAGTAGATCTAAGGAAGGATTATTTTAGTAATGCAAAGAACAAAAAGAAAATGAAAATTTTGCCCAGATCCTTTTTCAATATGACACAGGAACTAAATTTGATAGATCAATGGATGAGAATAAATTTGGGGAAAAAAGAATTCACGTTCTACTCTAACCCACACAAATCGTGGTCTAGATTAGACATGTCGTAGATGAACGCAGAACTAGGAAACCAACTAGATTCAATAGAGATTATGACAAATGTATGGGCTGTTCATAACCTATTAAAAATAACTTGGAAAGGAAGGAAAAGGAAGAGTAGAAAGTAGATAATTAGTCCCCAAATTTTAAGAAAGATTTTGTAGAGAAAATTAAGAAAGAAATGGAACTTTTTTAAAAGGAAAATACAGTGGAGCAAACATCATTACAGAATTTATGGGATACAGCAAAGGCAGTCTTGAGGGGGCTGGTAACAGCATATACAGCGAAAAGGAATAAGGAAAGATGGCAAAATCAGAATAAATTACAGGAGGAGATTAAAGACCTAGAAAGTAGATTACAAAAAAACCCACAAGATGAAAAATTGAGGAGAGAGATGATTCTTACTAGGCATAAATTGAACATTATAAATCAGGAAGAGAGAGTTAAAGAGGTGAAAAGGGCAAAACAGAATTTTTTCGAACATGCAAATAAACCAGGGAGGTGGTTAGCCCATAAATTAAAATTAGAAAGAGAAAGAAGGTTGAATATTGAATGACTGAGAAAAAGAAAATAGTACAAAAATATTTTGAACAACTATATAGGGAGGATGGAATAAACCCTGAGAATATAGAACAATATTTGAAAAGGAAGGGAAAGGAATATCTCACTAATTCCTAAAGAAGATTTAGATCACAAACAGATTAAAAATTATAGACCAATCTCACTCCTGAATGTAGACTATAAAATATTCGCAACAATAATGTCAGAAAGACTAAAAATTATATTAAATGAACTTATTCATATTGACCAGAACGGTTTTCTACCTTCTAGACAGATAAGGAACAATATAAGGATATATTAATATATATTAAATGTATTAGAATACTATGAGGCCCACCCAGGAAAGTAGGCAGTATTGATTTTCTTGGATGCTCAGAAGGCCTTCGACAATCTCAGCTGGCAGTTCTTGATCCAACAGGTCAAAAATATGGGATTTGGATCTAAATTCAAGAAAATGATTGGCACAATTTATTTGAACCAAAAAGCTAGGGTAATTATAAATAGGGAGATTACTGAAAACTTTAAGATTATGAAAGGTGTTAGGCAGGGATGTCCAATGTTGCCTCTGCTTTTTATCTTGACCATCCAAGTGCTTTTAAATCAGATTAGACAAAGAAAGGAGATAATTGGACTGAAGAGCAAAATAGAAGAATATAAAGTACAGGCATTTGCGGACAACTTAGTGTTTTTTGTGGAAGATCCAGTGGAGTCAGGGACCTATCTAATTCGAGAATTAAAAGAATATGGGACGGTAGCAGGACTAAAAATTAATAAAGATAAAACAAAAGTAATAACCAAAAACTTGATAGAAAGTCAAAAAAAAAAAAAACAATTGGAAAGGAAATTGGGATTACAAAGTGTCAAAAAACTTAAATATCTAGGAATTTGGTTTACAGGAAGATGCTCTTCCATAAAAGAGGATAATTATATGAAATTACTTTCACAGATAAAGAAAGATCTGGCCGATTGGGGAAAATTACAACTATCACTATTAGACCGAATAGCGGCCATAAAAATGAACATACTACCGAAACTGTTATACTATTTTCAAACAATACAAGGATTTTTTTCAGGAATTAGATAGGACAGTAATGAAATTTATATGGATGGGGAAAAAAACATGAATAAAATTGAAAACATTACAAGATAGTAGAACCAGAGGCGGCCTTGGACTCCCAAAATGGGAAACATATTATCAAGCAGCAATTTTACTATGGGTTAAGGAGTGGATAAACTTAAAAACTAAAAGAATTTTGGCCAAAGAAGGTCATGACCTCCAAATTGGGTGGCATGCCTTTCTATGGGATAAAAAGAATAAGATCCACTCCTATTTCCATAGACATTTGATAAGGGACTCACTTTTACAAACATGGGAGCATTTTTTTTAAAAAAGCATTATTTGAAAAGACCAAACTGGATCTCACCTATGGAAGCTATATTATATCCAAATACAAGGAACATTAAAACAATAATTAGATATAAAGAATTGGTAGATGAACAAGGGGAATTAAAAATACTGGATAAACCAAAAGAACAAGGGATAATATTAGACTGGTGGGTATATTTGCAAATTCAAACTAAATTTAAGAAAGATGTAAAGGAGCTAGGGATAGATGAAGAGTTTAAAAAAATGGACCAAATTTTGACAGGCAAGGATATAAAATTTATAACACAAACATGTAATTATTTACTGGAGGTAGAACTAGAGGAGGAACTTGTTAAGGGACCAATGATTGCCTGGGTGAGAAATGTGAGTCATAATATAAATTTGGATGAGTGGGAAAAGACTTGGACCAAGAACTGGAAGCTGACTTTGTTGATGGCATTCAAAGAAAATCAATATAAAATGTTTTGTAGATGGCACTTAGTGCCAGCACAACTGGCAAAAATGTATCCAACCTTGAAACCAGAATGCTGGAAGTGCAAACAAAAGAAAGGAACATTTTTCCATATGTGGTGGCAATATATAGAGGTCAAAAAATACTGGAAGAAAATACAGAGATGGCTTTTTGAGATTACAAAATATAAATTGAATTTGGAACCTGAAACGTTATTATTAGGTATGATCAAAGGAAATTTGAGTAAAGATAAAAGATACCTTATTGTACACATCTTAACTGCACCAAGAATCACGTTAGCACAAAATTGGAAGAGAGATAAAATACCACCAGATGAAGTTTTGATTCAAAAAATAATGGACTGTGCTGAACTAGATAAATTCACTATGGAACTGAAAGGCAAAGAGGATCAGGAATACTATGCGACATGAGAGAGGTGATATGAATGGGTGAAGGACAAGGATAAAAATAATGTATAGTCACAAAATAAGAAACATGTATATACAATGACATAATAACTGTTAATGGAAATGAGATTTTTGCATTTTTTGTTTTTAAAGAATAAAAATTATAAAAAAAAGCATTGTTATAAACCGAGCTAGCCATAGCAACTGGTCATCTTGTATAACATATAAATCATTCTCTAAATTAGCAGTAACACTTTTCCCCTCTTTCTCTATTATACAGTTATCTCCCCTAAAGGTTACTACATAACTAATATTAACTAAGGCCCTTACTGATAAAAATTAAATTTCAGTTTAGGTACATATAACATAGGGAAATGTTCATTTATACATGAACAATATGCAGTACCTTCACCAGATGCTTTCATCTTCCATTCATTTGCCAATGATACATGTAAATGCTAGGGATTACTCGTGGACATCTTTACAAACCTCTCTCTATTTCTAGTAATGCACTGCGATGCTGCACTATCAACTACCCACAAATCATGGTTTACAGTTGAATTGCTAGATATAACTAAATTAACATTCTTCTTAGCCTTCTGGTGATTACCAGTATTCTGTTGTTTGCCCTTCTTACAGAATCTAGCTATATGTCCCCTAGTCGGACAAGAAAAACATTTCCTAACAGTATAGGAGGTTGAAAACAAATCCTCTTCTTGTGGATGTTTCTCTCTCAGTTGGTCTCTGTCCAGCCTTCTTCTTGTCTCTTCTAACAATTGTCCGGTTATGTCAGTCAATGTCAGTTCATTTCTGGTCAGGACTTCTAGTGAAGATACATAATCATCATAACTTTCATCCAATGAGGAAACAATGATGTAAACCTGATGCAACTCTGAAAAAATCAGTTCCTTTTCATGTAGCTCTTGAAAAGGTCTTTTCATAAAGTTCAAATGAGCTAACATATCTCCACCTTTCAGAAGACATGCTCATGTATGTGTGCACCTACACTGTCATGAACATAAATCTTCAAATTCTCCCAACACCTAGCAGCCGACTCTTCTTCACGAATATGGACTAGCTCCTGGTCACTCAGTGTTAGTCCAATTATACAAAGACCTTGTTCGTTGTTCTGTTTAAAGTCAGATAACTTTTTGACAGCGTCCTCATCATTTGGATCTCTAGCATTTACATCTGGTGGATCCTGAACTGCAGCCCATAACCCTTCCCTACACAGAAAGACTGCACTTCATAGACCAGGAAACATAGTTTGTTCCATCCAACTGGGTTATCAGTGATAGACTTGTTGACAGGTCTTGTGCCATCTTTACCAGGATAGTAACCCACAATTAAATAATAGACAGATGTCTGTATACGGTACTGTGTATTCACACTAACTCTCAGTTATCTGAGTCTGGTGTGTTCTGGGCTCATAACCAGTGTTGAGGTATTCCCCGTTAGGAGAATGAGTGCACTCAGGGAATCACAGTGAGAGTGGTGATGAATAACACACAACCAGCACACTGATGCACTGAATAGCAAAATGTAGGTTTTACTTCCAGTAAACAAAGTCCAACAAACAGTCCAAATCATACACAGTTAAAACAGTTAGTATCAGTCCAGGGATAATCCAAAAATGAAGTCAAGTATCATAAACAAAGTTCAGTAAATGGAGTTTGCTAACAGTTGCAAGACTCACAGCAATCCAAGCAGAATGACGATCAGGAAATATGGCAAAACAGGAAATGCAAGGAGAAAGAAACCAGGTTTCTGGCTCCATCTTATGGCTGTTGGAGGAACCTCAGCTAATCACAATTACAGCATTCTCTTAAAGATACA